CTCTCTCTGCCAGAATCACGAGCCCCCGTTCTTCGCCACTTTCATCGATCCGCTGGCTGACATTGCCGGCGTCCGACTGTGTCACGTCATCGTCGTCGCCATCATGTTCGTTTCGATCTCCTTTGCCCTGCATATTCTCCGGATATTGAATCAACTTCCTGGTCAATAAAAATCGAGCCCCAATTTATAATTCATAAAGTTCAATTTCAATAATCAATTTGAATATGTTTTTTGATTTTGAGGATGCCATATCCAGTACCGATTGATGGTGATTAATACGTGTCCGACAGTCGCGTGCGAAGACACCATCGTCAATTTGGGTGAAGAACGAGGAGGTGCTGTGTGAATGAGTTTTGGGACTTAAGTTTGGAAATTGGATAAATTATAGGAACCTAATCGCAAATTAGGAAAAGTAGTTTATTTCAATCTAGTTCAAGGGGTTAAAATTGTAATTTTGGAAAATTTAAGATTACACAATATTAATTAATTATTTTCACAATATTAGTAAGTGAACCGAATTTAGTGACATAATAATAATTATTAATAATAATTTTACATCGATCGTCGGTACTGTATTATGAATTTTTTTTTAAAAAAATAAAGTCGATGATTTATCGAAACAATCAAAATCTTAAACGTAAAAAAATAGATAATTGAGTTGAAATATGAAAAATAAATCAAATTTTATTTTTGGTCAGTTTGTTTGGTGTTGTGTAGTCCATTAGTCACTAATGTGCAATTCTTCTTATACTATTGTGCAAGGTTTATGTAATCCAAACCGAAATAAATTTTCTTCTTATATGTTTTTTTTTTGTTTAAAAAACATTATTTTATATAAAAAATTTTACAAAAACTAATATTTTATATAATTTGTTAGTTCATTATTTCGGTCATTTTAAAAATTAAATATGAAAACGAACTGAAATAACTAAAATTTCAGAGGTAAAAAAAAAGAAAAAAGAAAATCGAACCGACATAAAATTTGAACCAACAACTTAGTTCGCCCGGTTTCGATCGGTATAGTGCAATTTGGTAGTCATTAATATACAATTCGTACAATGCTAAGGTGCACTCGAAGTGCATATAATTTTTAAAAAATTATCTCACACCAAACTAAATCCAAAATATAGTTAGTATTTTAATGTATTTATTGAATATCTTATATCATTTTTCGGATGTAAAAGAAAATACTAATTTTTTTATAGTCGGTCGGTTTGATTATTTTAAACAATAAAGCAACATCAGCCGGAATACCCGAAATTTTAGTAGTACAAATATATATACTCAACCCAATATATGAAATTTGAACCCAAAACTTTGTTTGTTCGTCTCGGCCGCTATAGTGCAACCTTATAGTGCAACCTGGTAGTCAGTAATATGCAATTCGTATAACAATGATGTACAATCAAAGTGCAAACATTTTTATAAAAATATATTTAGTATTTATATTTTTTATTTAATATTTTATATTATCATTTGTTGAAAATAAATAATATAATATAAAAACAATATTTTTCATATAATTTGTTCGATTATGTTATTTGTTGACTTTCTTTTTTCTTGTATATAAAGCCGAATCGAACCAAAATAACCAAAATTTTAATATTTTTGTGAAAATGCACACTTGTTATGTTAATGTGCATTATCGAATGCATAAATGTGCATTTAGTCTAATACTATTGTGCAGTCTGAAAGTCACTAATGTGCATCGTGTTTTACACTATTGTGCATTCTGATTTCGAGTTTATTTTTATTATTATTTTTTTTGTGATATTCCAAACTAAAATCGAACCGAAATAATTGGATTATTCGGTTAGCTAGTCGAATTAACCTAAATAATTAAAATATTTTATTATTTATATTATAAAAAATATATTTAGTATTTTATTTTTATTTATTTAATGTTTATATTATTTTTGGTTGAAAAAAATATAATATATATGTATAAAAATATATTTTCATGTAAATAAAATAATATTTTTTTGTATTATATTTTCTGTAAATTAGAATTTGGCCCATGTACCCAATTGAAATATAGCTAAAACTTCTTAATACACAATTAGGTCCCTTCAAGTTATCTAATTTACAAAAAAAATGCCCACCCCTTTCCCCTAATTTCTGAAACTGGGCTTCATCCCACTCTAATCATTCCACCCCTAAAATGCTTATTCCCGGCACCAGACATTATCTAGCGGGAAAGTAGAATGGCCGCGGACTTCCCTTGAACAGCCGGAGTAGCTTGGCCGCGGAGGTCAGTTAGAGGAATGAAGGCGCGGCGGTAGCTGCGAAGTGTTTGGAGCCGCGGACATGGGTGGCGGACGTCGGTGCCGGACTAAGGTGGTGCGATGGAGAACTTCGATGGGAATGGGATGAGATGTATTAGACGAGGATGAAGGCGAAGCTGGTGCCGCCGCGGATGCTCCCTATGAGGCCCTCCGGCAGTCGAGGACATTACCGGCGGAGGTTGACTGGTCCGAGGGTCGACGGCGAGTCTGCAATTCCAGAGCATGTTGCCGTAGAAGACGCCGCTAATGTAGCCTGAGACGCCATCGATGAGCAGACCCCGACGAGAAATGAGATGACGTCATCGACGAGCAGATCTGGGAGGAACATTTTTTTTTTTTTGCTGCTGAGGAACCTTTATTGAGTTGCAGGTGTGTGTGGAAGGGGAGGAGAGAGAGACAGAGAGTGAATTTAGAGAGAGAGGTAGACACGTGAAAGAGTTGAGTATGGTGGGGGTTGGGCCTACTGATAATGGGATTGTTGTAAAATGTCCACAGTGCCCCTAATTAATGTAAAAATGATGTTTGTTTTTTATCGCTACAATATATTCTTATTTCTTTCACTAATCACTATTCTCACCGGAGCTTATCCCTATTTATATATATAAATGTTTGTGTTTACTTAACTAGTCAAATCGAATTTCTAAATAAAAATTTTAAAATGACATTTTTTGAAATGAATGTAATGTAACTTATTATCAGTTACTTGCACCGTACGGGTCGTATACTAATTTTAAAATAACATATTTTATGTAATTTTGTAAAATTTAAATTTCATATAACATTTTCAACAAAATAATATAGGTAAACTGTATTACGTATTGATTTTATATTTCTAATTTATAAATATTATTTAATGAGCATTTGTAATTTATAAATATTAATGAATATTTCTTACTAGTATATATAAAAAAGTTTGATTAATTTTTAAATAGTAATTGTTTAAAAAAAATAATCTTATTTACTATATCTAGAAATAAATTAATCAATATATGGTATAACGTAGACGAATTTATTTTATGTATTTGATGGTCTTTTATATGAAAAATAAATTAATTAATATATGATATAAAGTGGACGAATTTATATTTGATATTTAATGGTTGTTTTTATGAAAAATAAATTAATCAACATATTGTATAAAGTGTGGGCGGATTTATTTTTGACATTTGATAATTATTTATATGGAAAATAAATTAATCATGTCTTACATCATGATTTAGAAATTACACTCCGCGGGTGCACATTTGTTTTCATTTTGTTTTACATCATGATTTAAAATTAACAAACCGAATTATTTCCAATGTAGTGTACTAATTTAGACAATTATTGTTTGTAATAATGAAATAGATTTTTTTGGTGAAAATGTGATGTTCAATCTAGCTAAAACACAGCTCACAAAGACTGGCTACAGTTCATTGCAGCATCCAACTCTTAGCAGCTTTCTTAGTTTTCTTCTGTTTTCAGTTTTCTCAGTTTTTTTCTTTGCAGTGTGGTTTTTTCTTCTTTTTTCATGTTGTTTGGTGGATGTTTTTAGGTGCTTTATTTGTACCTTAGTTTGCTGCTGGTTAGGTTTTAGTTTGTGTTTTTGTCTTGATGTTTCTTTGGCTTCCTAGGCTTGATTGCAGTGGGGAGTTTCTTAGTCTCATCTTTTGGTTTGAATTGTTGAGGTTCTAGGCCGCTTGCATGCGTGTCCTCTCAGTCTTTGATTTCCGCAGTCTTGATTTGTACTTAAACATTGTATCTTTTCTTGAGTTTTATAGTTATCTCTATCGTTCCGGAAAAAAAAAAAAATCTAGCTAAAACATCATGTTTTCNCGTGTATATTTATGTAGCATATCTTGTGCATAATTTGAGGAGATATTTTAGGAATAGTTAGGATCTTGTGATTAGTTAGTTTCTTTAATTAACATGTAATCTTGGTTTTATATTTTTGGCTAATCAGAATTTTCGGGTCACCACGTTTGGGATGAATCAGTTTCCTAATATTTTCTCTTGACATAATATCAGAGCCAATTTTTTTTCTTCTCTCGTGATTTTTTTTTTCGGTTGCTTTCTTTGCAATTTGGTTTAGTGACATCAAATTTGTTTTGGTTTAGCCAATTTGAATGGGGCCTGCAATGAATTTAATTCAATTTTGAGGATTTAATTTTTTTTCAATTCGGGAGTGCGTATTGCATTGCTTTGAGTGGCTGGGAAATATATATATATATAGAGTTAGGATCACATGAGAATGGTAGATAGTGAAAGAAATAAGAATGGATTTGGACCATGGGATCAATCATATAAATGATTATGATGAAGTCAAAATATGGTCAATCATTAATTGCAACATGGTAATTTAAATACGTATTGTGGTCAAATGTATATATTTGTCCACTTAATAAGGGTAAAATAGACATTACACCTAATATTACAATTCATCAACCCAGTGGGACCCACCACCTCCCCCATAATTATTCGCTCATTCTCTCTCTCTCTCTCTCTCACACACACACACATTCTTAAATTCCGCTGAAATTATTCGCATCCCCTGGGGTCCCCCGCCGGAAATGAAGACCGCCATTACTGCCACCTGCCGCCATCTCCGACGTCCGACGCAGCTCCGCCGGTCGCCACCAGAGACAGCCGTCGTCCGTCTTATACACGATGGCTCCGCCGGAAAACACACACGCGCACACATTCTCACGCACAGAGCACACACATCTCACACTTTCTTCACACAGTCGGGAAAAAACACACACACACACGACCACGATCCATCCACAGCTGCACCACCGCCGGCACAGCCAGTCGACGAGGACGTCGCCGCCGGCATAGCCAGTCCCTGCAACCAGCCACTCGAGCACGTCGTCTCCACCTTGCAACCAGCGCCACCAACAGAATCGCCACGGCCACCACAGTCCCGTCGCCCTGCAACTCGACAGAACGCCGCTTCGGGCCGTGTATTCGGTTTCTGATCTGCCAAACTCCGGCGAGATGGCCGCGGGACTCTCGGAGAGATCTGCCGAGTAATAGCCGAAAAAATTGGATCTGTAGAACCCCCGACAGTAACACCATCACCGAATCGCCGGACGCCGGACGGTCTGAGACGTCGATCCGGTCGATCGACAGGCTGGCCTTCTCTATTTGGGCTAATGAAACTGAATAGGGGTTGAGGAAGATGATTGATTTTGTCGATTTTGGAAGATGGGTTTGGGGTGTCTTGGAAAAATTTGACATGTTACAGTGGTCTATTTGCAAATTCTGAAATTTTGATTTTTTCCAATTGAGTACTTTAGGCAAATTGATAATTTAAACAAAAATCTAGTCACTTAGCTGCAAATTCAGAAATTTTTATATTACAAATTAGTTAATGTGTAAAATTTGTAATTTAACAAAAATTTAACAAATGCACAATAATGTACAATACAATGCATAACATAGTGTGTGTATATGCACATTAACAAAAAAAAAAAAAAAAAA